ACACACACACACACACACACACACACACATACACGCATACACACACATACACACACACACCTACACACACACACTCACGTAATATTGATTTAGATGTAATTTGATTATTGATCATTTTTGTCGTGACAGCATTTTGAAATTTTTGTCAACATAAGCAAAAATAAAACTACAATTGTCGAATTTATCAATTAATCTTTAAATTAAAAAATTTAACGAAGTTTTATGCCTTTTTTCAAGAAATTTCTCATGTTTTCAGACCACAAACATATCATTTGGAAATTTTATCTCGTTATTTTTTCATTTTTTTTTAATATTTCAATAATATTATCCTAAATGATTGATTCATTTTATTAATGCGAAAAATTTTTAAAAGAAAGTTTGCATTAATCATTTTATTATCCCAAAAATTATGATATTTAAATAATTAGAGAATATGCATGTGGTTTTGCACGTGTTCATTACATGTATAACAGAATCATTAATTAATTAATTACTGGAAATCTTTTCGTTTATTTCCAACATTACTTCGTTTGCCAAATAAAAGATTCAGAAATCCGCGATTAGGCTCTTTTTTTTTCACATGCACCAAACGATTTGGTTCTTTTGTATCACTTGCTACTCTCATTATTAGCGGCTTCATATCAAACTAAATCAGTCCTTTTTCTTCTTTTTGTTTTTTGTAATTAATCAAAACTAATCTTTTAACAAATTTTAATTTTCAAATAAAATACTTCAATGAATTTTTGGTATTGTTCTCTTAGTACATGATGATGAATAACGCTTCTGTATTATCAACAAACGTTTGTATATTATTAACAATCAATTCTATATTTTCTGTATTATCAATTTTAACACTATTGTCTTTTATTTATTTATTTTTTTTAAACAAATAATGTTATTTAGAAGGAATAATTTGATTCTAATAGAATCAAATCCCAAATGATTATTTTACATTTTTAAAAATGCAAACGAAAATTTTTTCATTTCTGAGATAAAAATTATCTGATCAATTCTGTAAAATCTATTGTTTAAATTTTATTCCAAACGTATTTCTATTTCCCAATTTTCGCATAATGTATTATTCTTTTAATTAAAATTAAAATTAACTTGCACTTTTAATTAAAAAACTTAATGACACTTACATGTAATGTAGTAGGTGATTTATAGGATGATGTACGTAATATACTTTTTAACGGGAATTGTCTTCCAGCACATGCACGTATCCTTGCCGCTTCACGTTGTCCAATTTTATCGCATCTGGTGCCATTTTTGGATTTCGATCACCAACCAATAG